TCAACATAAAACAATTCACACTGATAGTGAAAGTTGCTCAGTTGGTTCTGACTCTTTGCGACCCCATGGACTATAGAGTCCATGGAATTTTTCAGACCAGAATAATGGAGTGAATAGTCTTTCCCTTCTCCAGGGGATCTTCCCAACCCTGGGATCAAACCCAGGTCTCCTGCACTGTAGGTGGATTCTTTACCAGCTGAGCGACCAGGGAAGCCTACAGTTCACCTTGTGGCCTCTCAAATTCATATCTTTCCCATGTATAAAATATATTCACCCAATCCCAACATCCTTCAAAGTTATAACCCTTTCCAGCATCAACTCTAAGGCTCAAATGTTATCTAAATATCTTCTAAGTCAGTTATGGGTGTTACTCAGTTTCCTGTCCATCCTTGGGCAAAATTCCTGTTCACCTGTGACCCTGTAAACCCAGAAAACAAGTAGAGGGCAAGCAGAGGTTCAGAATACACAGGAAAGATATTGCTTAGACAATACAACTGATGGAATACCTGTTAGGTTTGAATGTACTGAGCAGAGATTTACTCTAGAGTAGAGAATTTGGGGGAGAGTAATGACAAATGTTTATCAAACTAAACAAATAAAAAGGAAATGTAATCCAGGATACTACACAGTGCAGCTGTGAATCAGTTCAGTTCAGTCGCTCAGTTGTGTCTGACTTTCTATGATCCCATGGACTGCAGCACGCCAGGCTTTCCTGTCCATCACCAACTCCCAGAGTCTACTCAAACTCATGTCCATTGAGTCAGTGATGCCATCCAACTATCTCATCCTCTGTTATCCCCTTCTCCTCCCGCCTTCAATCTTTCCCAGCATCAGGGTCTTTTCAGTGAGTCAGTTCTTCACATCATGTGGCCAAAGTATTGGAGTTTCAGCTTCAGCATCTGTCCTTCCAGTGAACACCCAGGACCGATCTCCTTTAGGATGGACTGGTTGGATCTCCTTGCTGTCTAAGGGACTCTCAAGAGTCTTCTCCAACACCACAGTTCAAAAGCATCAGTTCTTCGGGGCTCAGATTTCTTTATAGTCCAACTCTCATTCAAACATGACTACTGGAAAAACCATAGCTTTGACTAGATGGACCTTTGTTGGTGAAGTAATGTTTTTCCTTTTTAATATGCTGTCTAGGTTGGTCAAAACTTTTCTTCCAAGGAGCAAGTGGCTTTTAATTTCATGGCTGCAGTCACCATCTACAGTGATTCTGGAGCCCAAAAAGATAAAGTCTCTCACTGTTTCCATTGTTTCCCCATCTATTTCCCATGAAATGATGGGACCAGATATCATAATCTTGGTTTTCTGAATATTGAGTTTCAAGCCAACTTTTTCATTCTCTTCTTCCCCTTTCATTAAATGGTTCTTTAGTTCTTCTTCACTTTCTGCCATAAGTGTGGTGTCATCTGCATATCTGAGGTTATTGATATTTCTCCTGGTACTCTTGATTCCAGCTTGTGCTTCATCCAGCCTGGCATTTTGCATGATGTACTCTGCATATAAGTTAAATAAGCAGGGTGACAATATTCAGCCTTGACATACTGCTTTCCCTATTTTGGAACCATCCTGTTGTTCCATATTCTGTTTTAACTGTTGCTTCTTGACCTGCATACAGATTTCTCAGGAGGCAGGCCAGGTGGTCTGGTACTCCCATCTCTTTTAAGAATTTTCCACAGTTTGTTGTGATCCACGCAGTCAAAGGCTTTGGCACTAGTCAATAAAACAGAAGTAGATGTTTTTCTGGAACTCTCTCGCTTTTTTTGTGATTCAACGGATGTTGGCAATTTGCTCTCTGATTCCTCTGCCTTTTCTAAATCCAACTTGAACATTTGGAAGTTCACGGTTCACATACTGTTGAAGCCTGGCTTGGAGAATTTTGAGAATTACTTTGCTAGAGTGTGAGATGAGTGTAATTGTGCAGTAGTGTAAGCATTCTTTGACACTGACTTCCTTAGGAATTGGAATGAAAACTGATCTTTTCCAATCCTGCGGCCACTGCTGAGTTTTCCAAATATGCTGACAAATTGAGTGCAGCACTTTCACAACATCATCTTTGAGGATTTGAAATAGTTCAACTGGAATTTCATCACCTCCACTAGCTTTGTTCATAGCGATGCTTCCTAAGGCCCACTTGACTTCCTTCGCATTCCAGGATGTCTGGCTCTAGATGAATGATCACACTATCATGATTATCTGGGTCATGAAGATCTTTTTTGTATAGTTCTTCTGTGTATTCTTGCCACCTCTTAATATCTTCTGCTTCTGTTATGTCTATTCCATTTCTGTCCTTTATGTGCCCATCTTTGAGTGAAATGCTACCTTGGTATCTCTAGCTTTCTTGAAGAGATCTCTAGTCTTTCCCATTCTATTATTTTCCTCTATTTCTTTGCACTGATCACTGAGGAAGGCTTTCTTATCTCTCCTTGCTACTCTTTGGAACTCTGCATTCAAATGGGTATATCTTTCCTTTTCTCCTTTGCATTTCTTTTTCTCCGGGATGGTCTTGATCACAGTCTCCTGTACAGTGTTACCAACCTCCATCCATAGTTCTTCAGGCACTCTATCATATTTAATCCCTTGAATCTATTTGTCACTTCCACTGTATAATTGTAAGGGATTTGATTTAGGTCATAACTGAATGCTCTAGTGATTTTCTCTATTTTCTTCAATTTAAGTCTGAAATTGGCAATAAGGAGTTCATGATCTGAGCCACAGTCAGCTCCCAATCTTGTTTTTGCTGACTGTATACAGCTTCTCCATCTTTGGCTGCAAAGAATGTAATCAATCTGATTTTGGTGTTGACCATCTGGTGATGTCCATGTGTAGAGTCTTCTCTTCTGTTGTTGGAAGAGGGTGTTTGCTATGACCAGTGCATTCTCTTGGCAGAACTCTATTAGCCTTTGCCCTGCTTCATTCTGTATTCCAAGGCCAAATTTGCCTGTTACTCCAGGTGTTTCTTGACTTCCTACTTTTGCATTCCAGTCCCCTATAATGAAAACATCTTTTTTTGGGTGTTAGTTCCAGGTCTTGTAGAACTTCACAGAACCATTCAACTTTAGCTTCCTCAGCATTACTGGTCAGGGCATAGACTTGGATTACTGTGATGTTGAATGGTTTGCCTTGGAAATGATCAGAGATCATTCTGTCAGTTTTGAGATTGCATCCAAGTACTGCATTTTGGACTATTTTGTTGACTATGATGACTACCCCATTCCTTCTAAGGGACTCTTGCCCACAGCAGAAGATAGAAGGGTCATCTGAGTTAAATTCACCCATTCCAGCCCATATTAGTTTGCTGATTCCTAAAATGTCAATGTTCACTCTTGCCATCTCCTGTTTGACCACTTCCAATTTGCCTTGATTCATGGACCTAACATTCCAGGTTCCTATGCAATATTGCTCTTTACAGCATTGGACTTTACTTCCATCACCTGTCACATCCACAGCTAGGTGTTGTTTTTGCTTTGGCTCCATCTCTTCATTCTTTCTGGAATTATTTCTCCACTGATCACCAATAGCATATTGGGCGCCTACCGACCTGGGGAGTCCATCTTTCAATGTCCTATCTTTTTGCCTTTTCATGTTGTGTCAGCTGTGAATAGCACTTATCCAACTGAAATATGATAAATCTTGAAATCTAATAAAAAATTACAATATGGTTAAAAGTTTCAGAGACTGACAAGGTTTGACTTTATGAGTGTGTATATGTATGTATAGGAGTGTATGAGTGAGTGTACGTGCATGTCTCAGTGTGTTTTATACGGGGGCAGGCAAGTTGTTTGTTCAAGAGGGAGTCAGTTGATGATGATAACTAAATATCTTGTTATTTAGAAATAACTGAGTTAAGTAACAAAAGAAACAGGTAAATACCTTGAAGATTTTTACCTCTGGGAATTGTGTCATGGCATGGGTGTGTGCATGCTCAGTTGTGTCTCTTTGTGACCCCATCCACTGTAGCCTGCCAGGCTTCTCTGTCCATGGACTTCTCCAGGCAAGAATACTAGAGTGGGTTATCATTTCTTTCCTCCAGGGGATCTTCCCCACTCAGGGATTTGGCTCCTGCATTGGCAGGCAAATTCGTTACCACTGAACCACCTGAAAAGCTCCATGGGTATGGGAGGGACCTGGTACTTTTCACAAGACTCTTTACACAACGTTTTGGCTTTAAAAAATAAGTGGATGTAAAATTTTGATAAAGGTAAAATTTAAATTAAAAGGATAAAAGAAACAGTGTACAAGTTTTTGCATAAAATGTAAAACCAACAAAAAGAGCTTTAGAATTACTCATTATTTTGCGCAGTGGTTATTTTGCGTGTTGGTTAAGAGCACACGTTCTGGGTCTGATGTCTTGGGTTTGTTGGTATCTTGCTTCTCTCATTCATCAACCAGTGAGACCCTTTCCAGTGTGACCTTGGACAAAAGTTACTGGTGGTTCAGGTGCCTCAGTTTTCTACTATTTAAATAGTTTCTACTTCATAGGATTAGAAGAGATTAAATAAGCTAGTAATACGTTGCACAGTCAGACACAACTGAAGCGACTGAGCAGCAGCAGCAGCAGCATATGTTAAGTGCTCAGTAAATGTTAGACATCACAGTTTACACTGAATTGTTAATTGCATCAGAAAATATTTAGAAATGTTGAGAAAACTGAAGAGAGCTAACAGGCAATATGGGGAAATATAAGGTTGCTTCCCAATAACATCTTACTTTTATTACTATGTTTTAAAAAAAAAAAAAAAAAACATGTGCAGCAGTCATGCACATATCTTTTTTTTTTTTTCTTAAGAGACTTCACAAAAAAACATCCTTTAAGAAAGTATATTTTAAACTATTTTGGGCATGCGTAGCACAGTCTGGGAATAAACTCACTTTATAGCTGAAGTAAATGGGAATACTGATCTGAAATAGATCTGAGAGTGACCTAGAAGTGAACTGTTCTAAATCACACTGAGCCTCCCCAGACCAATCTGATGAGACTCATAGCCCATTAATACCTGAAGCAGAACTTTTGGTTTAAAATGTTCAGTAAAACTCCAGTCCATTAGATTGCGTTGCTGGGTTTTCTTTATGTCGTCTAACTCGGCTTCTACAGTCATCTTCTTTGGTTTCTTAAAAAAAAAAAAAATCAGAGGAATACAATTTCAGCTTTAATTTGTTTAAGTCCAAATGAAGCCCTCTTGGACTCCATCAACTAACTAGCATGCACTCCATCTAATTGAGGGAAATCTGCATATGTATAAATCCATATGGCAACATTTTAAGAGAACTGCTGCCAGAAAAAGTATGCCTTTGACTCTTTTTTTTATGGGCAACATAATCTAAATATTTTTATTGTTAGGTTATACTCTTCTGAGTCCTGTTAGCAATTATAGGCAGGTTTTCTGAACTCACTTCAAGACAGCATTAGTTTTACATAGCTGTATGGTCAGCAGGTGTTCGTGACGTTGCCAAGCCACACTGTCTAGAGAGAAGCATGGAGCCTGGAAGTTTTGCTTGAGCGGCTAGTGAAATTAACTCCTTTCTCTCCAGTTGGAACTGAGCTAGGGAGGGGGGTGTCTGAACAATCCCTTCTCCTCTAGTATCAGCCCCTTCCTGCTAAGTTTCTCTCTTTTTTAGTTCATGGTTTTCTCAGATCTTACTGGCATCTACACTTTTAAGGCAATAATTCCCTACCTTTTCAAGAAGATCAGCATTTGTGACCGCTTCATCTTTGGTCTCATTGTTCATGGTCTGCTCTGTAAATCAAAGACACCAACATCCAGTTGTGTTTGGGCTTTGTTCTCTTTTTGGTCAATGCTGTGCCTCTCTGTTGCCATGTGATCTATGTTTCTGTGCTGAAAAGGTAATTCCTGAAAGGCATGTTTCATGCCTCCAAAAAGGTGTTTTTGTCAATAATTCTAAATTAGTGTCTACCTAGAAAAGTTATACTAAGTCTTTTGAAAAGAACCCAGCTCCTTATATAATACATTCCTAAATCATATATTAGATATTCTGCCTTCAGACTGTATGGCTCACTTCTGACAATGTACTTTTATCTTGCAAGCTGCAAAGAGTTACTGATTAAACTATGTCAACTGCTCACCACACACTGTTGTCTGTTATGATGCTGGTACTATCACAAAGCCTTTTCAAATTTCTGGGTTGTATCTTATGAGTGACAGACTAGGACAGCAGCAGGGATGTATGGAAAGGAGAACCACCTTAAAAAAGCACCTCCTACTAGAAAAAGCAATACCAGACACTATCCTGTTAAGCTTTATCCACATTCATTAACAATTTATTAACTTAAGACCCATTTAATGGGCATCTGCAGATTTACAGAGTTTTTAAAAGTTAGTTAAATGAATAAAATGAATAGGGAGCTGCATTCCACGGGGCCCCTTATCATGGACACACTAGCTCTCCCTGTGACCAAAGAGTATACTTATGTGATAACTGGGACTGTGATAACCGCCTTGAGTACTAAAAACACAGCCATAAATGGAGAGAGAAGAAAGAGACTGATGCTGTTGATTTCTGAATCACCCTCTCTCAGCAAATCTTAAAGTTAACAGATATGTTATGTAGAGGAATTCCATGATATATGAGTTTCACATGGATAAACAGAGACACTTAACTGTGAATGTTTCAGAATTTGTGATATGCTCTTGTGACTGTGAATCTCTAATAAAGAAAGAAATCAGGGACATAGCATATTCCAAATCTGACCAAAGTAATAAAGGGGGGGGGGGTTTGAATCTTGTAACATATCTGTCATACTGCTAAAAGACAGCCAGTCTGACTTTTTATCACCCTCAGAATAACAGCAAATTAATCCCTAGGAAGTCATATATAAAATGGCTCCAGCTTGACTTTCCAATCACACCTCCTTCCACTCTCCCTGGCTCATTCCACTCCAGACTCACTGGCTTGCTTGTTGTATCTTGAAGTTTTTGAACTTGATTTTCTCTCTGTCTGGAATGCTTTGCTTTTAGATAGTCATCTGTTTCAAAGCCTTCATTCATATTGCTGTTCAATTGTCACCTCCTCAAGAGTCTTCTGCTTCTTATCTTATTTGATTTTTGATCATAGCATTTATCCATGCCTAACAATATTTGTGTCTCTCCATCTCAAATGTGAATTCCTGGAGAATAAGAACTTCTATTTTCCCTAACCATACTCTGAGCACCCAATACATGGTAGGAACTCAGTAAATATATATATATATATATTTTGACTGAGAGAAATCTACATCATGTATTAAAACTGGAAATAAATATCGAGCCATAGAGAGAGTGCAGAAATGTGGAAGAAATCCCACAACAAAAGCTTATTTGTGGGGTAAGCATAAGCTCAGCTGGTAAAGAATCTGCCTGCAATGCGGGAGACCTGGGTTCGATCCCTGGGTTGGGAAGATCCCCTGGAGAAGGGAAAGGCTACCCACTCCAGTATTCTGGCTTGAAGAATTCCATGGACAGTCCATGGGTTCGCAAAGAGTCAGACATGACTGAGCAACTTTCACTTTCACAAGATCTAAATTTTCATTGCATGGCAAAGAGAACCACATCTGGGCTTCTAGAGGGAGTAGCTAGTTACATCTAAGCAAGATAGGCCAAATGTTTTACTTGCCTCGAGGAGCATAGCTACTTATATTTTTGCTACTAGTTCCATCTCACCTTGGGCTGGTGAGGGTGACAGCATGAATGTTCCATTTTGATTTATATGAAAACTATAAATTCAATTCAGTTTTAATATTTATATAATACAGACACTCAAGAGAAAACTCAGGCCAACTATAACTCTAAATAGACCATTATGTCCCAAGTGTCCTTGAAGCAATTGATATGCAATCTGTGGAATAAAAATTATTCTGTTCTATGGGCTGCCAGATTTCCGGGAGACTTGATATTCCCTCCAGTGTCTAAGGATCCAATAGAAAAAAAGTCTCCAGTTTAGAAAATATGTTTTAAAACACTGTGCATCAGATATTTTGTCAAAGGAAAGAACATTCTAAGACTAATCTGAACTCTATTTTAGTAGTAGAGTAAAAGTCATTTTTTTTTTCTTTCTTCCTGATTTCTTCCTTCAACCGCATAATCCTTTGACAGTGTGATTCAGTAGTTTTTGACACATCTGGAAATGGATGCATTCTCATCCCTTTGAAAAACAGCTTTCCTAATCTGTTTTACTTTAGAGATAACAAGATCCCTCTGCAAAGCAGTTACTTTATTAAAAAAACACTCAACAAGCATAAAGGGCACATCTAAACCTATAGCCGCATGGTTATCAACTCTCAGGTTTTTCATAAATATCCAATAGGCCCCATCAAGTTCAAAAGCAGTCACAGATGGAAATCTACTGTTTGGTTGAGAAAAGCATAAGTATTTAGCCCTTCAAGTCCAGGAACAGGCTTTTTTATGTATTTGATGCTGAGATGGTTGTGCAGGAAATGTATGAACAGTTTCTGCTTTGTTTAGAGATTTAAAGTGGCTGCTTCAGAAATGTGACTCAGTTAGGGGAAAAATGCAAAAACAAACAAACAAACAAAAGATTAGCAACAACAAAAATTTCCCTTACATGTAATAGCCTCAGTGAGGCATCAAGGGTCAGCTACCCATCTCCATCCAAATGTAACAATTCCTTGACATAGGCCAGCCTACATCAGGTAGAATCCCTCACAGGCCATGGGTTCAAGATTGCTTGGCCTCTAGGATACACTGTTCATTATAGCATTTTTAGCCATGATGATTTAGGGAATTGCTGTAAACATTTACTTTGCACCAGGATTCAGAACACAAATTTATGTGGTTTGACCACCAGGTGGCAAAAGTTGCCTGAGGAAAACTATGTACCAATTGCTTAAAAAAAAAAAAAGGCAAAATAAACAAACAAAAAACCCCTCAGGCCTTACTTCTCTCCTGGCTTATTCTGGCTCTATACTAACTCAAAATTTTGTCATATGTTTATATTCCCTAGGACTCACTAATGCCATAATATCTCAAGTTAATTTTTTGTGAGTTAGGCTAATAGGTAAGCGTATTTAGAATAGGGAAATAGAGAACCAGCCCTAAAGGTAAAGAACCAGCCCTGAAGGTAAGCAACCAGTCCTAGGAAGTCCCAAAGGCAACAAAATTTGGTATGTATAACCATGAAGAAGAGAATATGAATATGGTTAGACCATTAGATGCATCACAAGGAATTTCTTGGAACTGAGGAAGCCACAAGACACACTGGAGGAAGCATTGGTTTGGATCCCTCTTTGGAGTCCCGACTTCCTGCTCACATGTGGCTGAACAAGTTACTTAATCCCTATGAGTCTTTGTTTGCTCATCTTCAGGATTAGGCTAATGGTAACATCCTCATAGGCTTGCTATTAATATAAAGCACTAGTTAATATATGTAAAATAGCACAGAAATCCCTTGCGTTCCTATACACTAACAATGAGAAAACAGAAAGAGAAATTAAGGAAACAATACCATTCACCATTGCAACAAAAAGAATACAATATTTAGTAATATATTTACCTAAAGAAACAAAAGACCTATACATAGAAAACTATAAAACACTGATGAAAGAAATCAAAGAGGACACAAACAGATGGAGAAATATACCGTGTTCATGGATTGGAAGAATCAATATTGTCAAAATGACTATACTACCCAAAGCAATCTATAGATTCAATGCAATCCCTATCAAGCTACCAACGGTATTCTTCACAGAACTAGAACAAATAATTTCACAATTTGTATGGAAATACAAAAAACCTCAAATAGCCAAAGCAATCTTGAGGAAGAAGAATGGAACTGGAGGAATCAACCTGCCTGACTTCAGGTTCTACTACAAAGCCACAGTCATCAAGACAGTATGGTACTGGCACAAAGACAGAAATATAGATCAGTGGAACAAAATAGAAAGCCCAGAGATAAATCCATATACCTATGGACACCTTACCTTTGACAAAGGTGGCAAGGATATACAATGAAAAAAAGACAACCTCTTTAACAAGTGGTGCTGGGAAAACTGGTCAACCACTTGTAAAAGAATGAAACTAGAATACTCCCTAACACCATACACAAAAATAAGCTTAAATGGATTAAAGATCTAAATGTAAGACCAGAAACTATAAAACTCCTAGAGGAGAACATAGGCAAAACACTCTCCGACATAAATCACAGCAGGATCCTCTATGACCCACCTCCCAGAATATTGTAAATAAAAGCAAAAATAAACAAATGGGACCTAATGAAACTTAAAAGCTTTTACACAACAAAGGAAACTATAAGCAAGGTGAAAAGACAGCCTTCAGAATGGGAGAAAATAATAGCAAATGAAGCAACAGGCAAAGGATTAATCTCAAAAATATACAAGCAGCTCCTGCAGCTCAATTCCAGAAAATAAATGACCCAATCAAAAAATGGGCCAAAGAACAGACATTTCTCCAAAGAAGACATACAGATGGCTAACAAACACATGAAAAGATGCTCAACATCACTCATTATCAGAGAAATGCAAATCAAAACCACAATGAGATACCATTACATGCCAGTCAGGATGGCTGCTATCCAGAAGTCTACAAGAAATAAATGCTGGAGAGGGTGTGGAGAAAAGGGAACCCTCTTACACTGTTGGTGGGAATACAAACTAGTCCAGCCACTATGGAGAACAGTGTGGAGATTCCTTAAAAAACTGGAAATAGAACTGCCATATGACCCAGCAATCCCACTTCTGGGCATACACACCAAGGAAACCAGATCTGAAAGAGACACGTGCACCCCAATGTTCATCGCAGCACTGTTTATAATAGCCAGGACATGGAAGCAACCTAGATGCCCATCAGCAGATGAATGGATAAGGAAGCTGTGGTACATATACACCATGGAATATTACTCAGCCATTAAAAAGAATTCATTTGAATCAGTTCTAATGAGATGGATGAAACTGGAGCCCATTATACAGAGTGAGGTAAGCCAGAAAGATAAAGACCAATACAGTATACTAACGCATATATATGGAAGTTAGAAAGATGGTAATGATAACCCTATATGCAAAACAGAAAAAGAGACATAGATGTACAGAACAGACTTTTGGATTCTGTGGGAGAAGGCGAAGGTGGGATGTTTTGAGAGAACAGAATCGAAACATGTATATTATCAAGGGTGAAACAGACCACCAGCCCAGATTGGATGCATGAGACAAGTGCTCGGGGCTGGTGCACTGGGAAGACCCAGAGGGATGGGGTGGGGAGGGAGGTGGGAGGGGGGATCGGGATGGGAAATACATGTAAATCCATGGCTGATTCATGTCAATGTATGGCAAAAACTACTACAATATTCTAAAGTAATTAGCCTCCAACTAATAAAAATAAATGGAAATAAAAAAGAAACTGAAAAAAAAATTGAAATAATACAGAAAAGTACAAAGAACTTAAATGCTTGGTATAATGAATAATGATAAAGAAAAGTCCCCAGCACTTCAGACATCTTACTCATGTTATTTCACAATCACATTTCTTAATCAAACCTTCATATAATTCCTGACTTTTTTTGGGGGATCGTTTTGGGTTTTTTACACACAATTTACAAATTATATCAGTTTTGCTTCTTTTCAACATTTTAGCTTTATCTCTTACCTTACTGAGTTGGCTAGCATCTCCAATGTAATCCTAAATATGAGAGTTTACAGTGGATAACCTTCTGACCAAGGGAAATCTTTTAACTTTTCATCTTGATATATAATGTTTATTGTAGTAATTTTTAAAATAAACTTATACGGTAGAGAAGTTTTCTCTCTATTGCTAGTTTGTTTTTCATAAATTGCTATTTTTTTTTCTCCATATACTGAGATTATATTTTTCTTAGTGTGTTAACTGATAAATTATATTGATTTTACAATGTATGCTTTTCCTTGTTACAAAAACTTGTCCTGATTATTATGATTTTGTATATTGCTAGATCAGTTTGCTTATGTTTTATTCAGGATTTTGGCATATATGTTCATGAATAACTGAGTTTTAATTTTTTTTATTGTTGTGCTACACTTGACAGTTTTATTATAAGGCTGATGCTAGTTTCATAAAATGAGAAGAGAATAATCCTTTTATATTTCCTGGAATTAATTTTTGTTAAGATTGTAACTATATTTTGAGTGTTTAGAAATTTTTTTTTGAGTGTTTAATATCACTAGTCAATGAGATTATTTGGGTTTGGCATGTCTTCTTTGGGAAGTTTTTAAATTGACTTAATTTATTTAAATAATTATAAGATATTCAGGTTTTATATTTCTTCTTGCGTGAATGCTGGTAAGTTGTACTCTTCTAGTAATTTGTTCATTTCATTTTTAGACATACTCAAATAAAGCTGCGGATTCTTTACCCACTGAGCTATCAGGGAAGCCCCTTATATCCTTTTACTCTTTTTTAAGTTTCTATAGCACCAAAGGGAAATCTGATTCTTTATTTCCAATGATTTTTACTCCTGAACTAATTTTATTTCTAATACAGTAATTCATGCTTCATTTTGTGATCAGCCATTCACTAAAAATTTTTCAATTTTAAAAATCTTTCAAAGGACCAAAATTTTCATTTTATTTGTTCTTCCTATTGTATCTATATTTTCCATAATTTATTTGTGGTTCAAGAACATACTCTGTAGTTTTGATCTGTGAAAATTTGTTTTATGATGTAGTATACAGTTAAAGTTTTTAATATAAACATACATACTTATGATCTCTAAGAAGCTATAGTATTAAGGAAGCCTTAATATAGGCATATGAATAACTGTTATAAGTAGTAGGAAATCCCTGGGAACTCAGCTGGTGAAGAATCCACCTGCAATGCAGGCGACCCCAGTTTGATTCCTGGTTTGGGAAGATCCCCTGGAGAAGGGATAGGCTACCCACTCCAGTATTCTTGGGCTTTCCTGGTGGTTCAATTGGTAAAGAATCAGCCTGCAACGTGGGAGACCTGGGTTTGACCCCTAGGTTGGGAAGATCCCCTGGAGAGGGGCACAGCAACCCACTCCAGTATTCTTGCCTGGAGAATCCTCATGGACAGAGGAACCTGGTGGGCTACAGTCCATGGGGTTGCAAAGAGTCAGACATGACTGAATGACTAAGCAAAGCACAGCACAGCAGAGTAGGAAATAACTGACGCTATAAAGGAAGCATATATTAATTATGAGCATGGGAATAGTAAGCAAGGCATTTCCAGATCAACACATCTAACAAAGCTTCATGGGAGTGTCATTTGAACCTCAGTATAATAAAAAAGACAACTCTAGTGGGAAGTTACTGTGGGAAAAAGTTAGAGATAGAAAAGAGCAGGCTGCCTAGAGGAAATAGGGTCGAATTATATTGACTACAGCATGTGCTCAGAGAACAAAAGTGAAGAAGTGGAAAGGGTTTGGGAAAATAATTTGGTAGTGCTGAAGAAGCGTGTAAAGCAAGTCAAGAAGGTGGGTCCTGTTTGTAGGTAGTAGGGAGCCACTGATAGCTGAGTAGTAAGGAATCTGCCTACCAACGCAGGAGACACAGTTTTGATCCCTGGGTTGGGAAGATCCCTTGGACAAGGAAATGGTAACTCACTCCTGGAACACACTCCAGTATTCTTGCCTGGGAAATCCCATGGACAGAGGAGCCTGGCGGACTACAGTCCATGGGGTCTCAAAAAGAGTCAGGCTTGACTTAGCAACAAATAACAACGAGGGGACATTGAAGGTTATAAGCAGGGTAATAGAAGAACCATATTTTAAGTAATATATCTAACAGCTGTGTGTAAAACAGCTCAATAAAAATTTAGCCTAATATTCTTCTATGCTTGTATATCTCTTAATATTACAATATTTATTATGATTTATTCTAGAATGAGAATAATTACCTGAGCAGGAGGGTGTTCAGGTGAACTGACGTTCATTGAGTATCGATTCTGTACCAAGCTCTGTACTACACAATTCATAGCTACTGGGGGTGATTTTGGATAATTTTTTTGCATATAATCATAATAACCCTGTGAAATACTAACGATAAAAGTTTTAATTCTGGTCACCATACTATATTTACAAAGGTAGTAAGAGTGGCTTAAAAGGACTTAATGATACATTGAAAAACAAGAGTTGAAATAATGAGGACTTACTCGACAAATAATAAATGTGAGAGAGGATGTGGAAAAAAGAGAACCCTCCTAAACTGTCGATGGGAGTGGAAATTGGTAAATAAACCCACTATGGAGAATAGCATGGAGGTTCCTTATAAAACTAAGAATAGTTACCGTATGATCCAGCAATCCCACTCAGGCATACTATCTAGGCAAAACTATAATTCAAGAGATACACTCATCCCTATGTTCATAGCAGCACTGTTCACAATAGCCAAGACACGGAAGCAACCTAAATGTCCATCAGCAGATGAATGGATAAACAAAACGGATAAACAAAACACCCATATATGCCCATATATATATGTATACATAATAGATACATACAATATACACACAATATATACACCCATATATAATATACACAGTAGAATATTACTCAACCATAAAAAGTATGAAATAATGTCATTTGCAATAACATTGATGAACCTAGATTATCACATTAAGTGAAATAAGTCAGACAAAGAAAAACAAATATATAATGTAACTTAAATGTGGAGTCCAAAAAATGATGCAAATGAATTTATTTACAAAACAGAAATAGATTTCCAATGTAGAAAAAGAACTTGGGGAGACAAGGATAAATTAGGAGTTTGTGATCAACAGATACATACTATTACATATAAAACAGATAAACAACAAGGACCTACTATATAGCACAGGGAACTATATCTAGTGTCTTGTAATAACCTACAATGCAAAAAATATGAAAAAAAATATGACTGAATCAATCTGTTGTATACCAAAAGCACTGTAAATCAACTCTACTTCAATAAGTTTTTTTAAAAAATGAGTAGTTACTGAATAACAGTAACAAAGTTTAATTAATAAAACAAGATGAACCATTTTTTCAACTGAAATAGGGAGGCATTTAAATATAAATAATGTATTTTGAATTTTTTTGGTTTATACATTCTATATCAGTATCTATACACACACACACACACACACACACACACACACACACACACACACACACATTTGCTCATCCAGAGTCTCAGGTTGGAGCTGAGACTTCAAGTTTCTCTCCTGCTCTATCGGTTCTCTACTATCAGAGTCTAAGGATTTCTTGTTACTACCAGGCTGATGATGATCTGATGGTTCTTTGTTGAGCTCATCATCTGGCATAGGTGTTGACCAGTTCTGATTCAGAAATAAAATTCTGTCTTTGGTTCCATCATCTAGGCAGAGTAAAGATACAATACTAGACAAATGGACAATCATACAATACAAGAATGCCTTTTTTTCCCTCCAGGCAGTGTACCTGTTTGCTGTTTGGCTTCTTGGGTATTCATGTTCATGATGTATTGTTGCCTTATCTGTTTAGCAAATCTGGAAGGGTTGTCCCATGGTATGTTGAACATCTCAGAACCTGTCCCATACATCATCCTAGAACGCTTTAGATTCCCATCTTCATCAACCTCAGAGAGTTTCAGGCTCTCAAAAGTAAACACTTTGAAGGCTCGTTCTACTTCATTCCAGTTCAAGACTTCTGTAAGAAAGCAGACCAGTGCTTTTAGAAACACTCTTTATTATCATATAGTGCAGGAACAACACGGGGGTCAGTCCGCCAGAAAGACGAAAGAGTCACGCCCTAATGCGTGTTGGCCCGACTTTACACATGGGCGCCACAACTCTGCAACAAATATCACAGGCAACTCATAATTAGAAACTTAGCCAAGATACATCAAGATAATGCTCACAAACTGCTTCCTAGATGAACGGATATGAGGTGTCCGGACTGATTCACACTGACTTTTCCAGAGTATTGGTTGAATATGTTTAAAACTTGTCATTTTTTCATAGAGAATAGACTTGTGGTTGCCAAAGGGGAGAAAGGTGAGGAAAAGATAGGTTGGGAGTTTGGGGTTAGTTGATGTAAACTATTACATATAGAATGGATAAACAACAAGGTCATATTGCATAGTACAGGAAACTATATTCAATACTCTGAAATGGAACAGAATGGAAGAGAATGTAAAAAACAAGGTATATATGTATACAACTGAGTCACTTTTTCTGTATAGCAGAAATTGATACAACATTGTAAATCAACTATACATTAATAAATTAAGAAAATGTCATTTTAAGCAAAAGCATCTTTTGCTGCTGTTGTAATGTAACACAGAAGTCACTCACTTGTGTCTAATATAGGCTGTTATGTTTAGTAGGCTTTTCTGTTCACTTAGGCTTAGAAAAGGCATGAAGTGAAGTCGCTCAGTCGTGTCCCACTCTTTGCGACCCCGTGGACTGTAGCCCAGGCTCCTCTCTCCATGGAATTTTCCAGGCAAGAGTACTGGAGTGGGTTGCCATTTCCTTCTCCAGGGGATCTTCCCAACCCAGGGATTGAACCCGGGTCTCCCGCACTGCAGGCAGACGCTTTACCATCTGAGCCAGCAGGGAAGCCCTAGAAAAGGCATCTTTCCACCCAATAAACTGGTACAGAACTTTTCATAACTTTATTTCAAAGGTTATCAGCCTCCAAGGGGCTATATTAATTTGTGTATTTAATATTTTATAGAAATTGTGTGTTCACTCACTCATGCACTCATTTTTGTTTTCTATGTTCTAGGCTTTATACTCTATGTATTTTTCTTTGCTTGACATTGAAAGAAAAGATTTGGTTCTGCAATTCAAAAGTTCAAGATAGAGAGGTAGGAGGTAGGTATTAACAAACAGTCATGGAATTCAGTGAGGGAAAGTGAAATGATAGTGACAGATCAAAGAATCTGAGGTCACCTCCATTTTTCCTCTCCAACAGAGAAGAGTATAGCGGGAAGGTTCCTTTTGGAAAAAACACAAGGAAATTCAGGAGAGAGACAGGAAAAAGGCAAAGGTGACAAAATTAAGTTTGTTCATTCATTCATTCATTTCACAAACATTTTTTGAGCACCTACTAGTTGTCAGTAACTTTAATAAAAGGACTATAGCAGCAAACATATCAGTGAACTCCTAACTTTACAGAGTATCTATTTTAGCAGTTGGGAACACAGAATAAACAGGTAATTGTATACTCTATCAGAAACAAGAAGAAAAGTAAAGCCAGATAAGGGGATAAGCAGTAATAATGACTGGGGAGGGACTTCTACTTTATATAAAGTAGTCAGAGCAGGGCTTCCCAGGCAGCTCAGATGGTAAAGAATCTGCCTGCAATGCAGGAGATGCAGGTCTGGTCCCTAGGTAGGGAAAAATGCCCTGGAGAAGGCAACAGCAACCCACTCCAGTATTCTTGCCTGGGAAATCCCATGGACAGAGGGGCCTGGTGGGCTATATTCTGTGGGGTCACAAAAGAGTTGGACACAACTTAGCAGCTAAACAACAACAAATATCAGAGCAGAGTCCTGTAAACAAGTAAAGCAAAAATAAGAAATAAGTGGGGGAGTCATACCACTATCTGGGAGTAGGGTGATGGAGGCAGGGGAGGGAAATAGCTAGTGCAGAGGTGGAGGCAGAGGTGTGATGGACTTGTCCAAGGAAGCACAGTGAAGTCAATGAGATAGAGTGGAGTAGAACAACGAGAATTAGATAGAGGATTAGCTCAAAAAGTTTAGATTTTACTTTGAGGGAAATGGGTGAACACGAGAGGATTTTGAGCCAAGAACGAACAGGATCTGACTAAACTTTTGGAAGGGTCATTCCTGCTATTATGTGAAGAAAAGACTAAACAAAGGGAAAACCTGGAGACCAACTGGAAAATTCCTGAAATAGTTCAAATGAGAGGTGGTGCCGGATTGGGCCGGGCTGGTAGTGAGAGATGTGGTGGGATTGGTTGTGGGGCATAAAAAAGAACCAGGGATGACTCCAAGGTTTTGGTAGAAAAGAGTTGCTATTTACGGAAATAAAGAGCACTGTGAAGGAACAACTTTCAAGGAAATCAAGAATTTGGACCTATTAAGCATTAAGAAATCTGCCTGCAGTGCAGGAGACCCCAGTTAGATTCGAGGGTCGGGAAGATCCGCTGAAGAAGGGATAGGCTACCCACTCCAGTATTCTTGGGCTTCCCTTGTGGCTCAACTGGTAAAGAATCCATCTGCAGTGTGGGAGACCTGGCTTCAATCCCTGGGTTGGGAAGATCCCCTGGAGAAGGGAAAGGCTACCCACTCCAGTATTCTGGCCTGGAGAATTCCACGGACTGTATAGTACATGGGGTCGCAAAGAGTTGGACACGACTGAGCAACTTTCACTTAAACATGAAGAAGGATAAAAGAGGAAGGAGAGGTGGAGGAATAAGGGTTCAGGATGGGACATACGAGCAGGATATGTATATGGGCAGTTTCAGTGATGGCAACAAAAATAAGAATCTTGTGCACTTTACAATGTGGGGAATAGAGCCAATATTTTATAATAAATATAACTGGAGTATGACCTTTGAGAAATTGTATAAAAAAGAATATGTGTTACATATTTTTCCCATAAAAGACAAAAGCAAATGTTAGCATACTAATCATCCTCTTCTTATCCTTGGTTTCCTTTTCTTTTTAAACTTAATTATCTAGGAGACTGTTCCATATCATGATAGAGATAGCCCTCCAAGTTGTTAAGATACATGATCTTGTACCACACAGGTGTCTCATATTTTAATGAGAGCTTTTGATGGGATAGTTTGTTTCTAGAATTTTGCTACTGTGAAAAATGATTCAATAAATGTACTTTCTCATATTAAAAAAAAATCCTGTGCTGTGTGTAGAACCAAGGTAGAGAGAAAATGAGATCATATCACAAGGCAGAAGGAGAAGAGCAGTGTGGCAGAAGAGAGGAAAAGGCCAGATGTTCTCAGGACACCAGGAAGAGGATGAATATGGAAAAATAGACGCGACACACCCAGTACCACTAGGCTACACCCATTTCCATGAGGGGACAGCATGACAGTATTAAAAATTTTGTTTCTTTTTTTTCAATCTCTTCAATAAGTGGTGCTGGGAAACCTGGACAGCTAATGTGTAAAAGAATGAAATTAGAACACTTCCTAATACTATACACAAAAATAAACTCAAAATGGGTTAAATACCTAAATTATAGACTAGAAACTATAAAACTCCTAGAGGAAAACATAGGCAGAACACTCTTTGGCATAAACGGCTGCAAGATCCTCTACGACACACCTCCTAGAGTAATGGAAATAAAGACAGAATAAACAAATGGGACCTAATTAAACCTAAAAGCTTTTGCACAGCAAAGGAAACCATAAACAAGATGAGACAACAACCCTCAGAATGGGAGAAAATAATTGCAAACAAAGCAAATAACAAAGGATTGATCTCCAAAATACACAAGCGATTCAAGCAATTCATGTAGTTCAGTATCAGAAAAGCAAACAACCCAATCAAAAAATTGAGCAGAAGGCTTAAGCAGACATTTCTCCAAAGAAGACATACAGAATCATAAATACATGAAAAAATGCTCAACAGCACTCATTATTAGCAAAATGCAAACCAAAAGTACAAGGAGGTATCACCTCACACTGGTCAGAATCTGCTGCTGTTTAGCTGCTAAGTCATGTCCAGCTCTTTCTGCGACCCCATCGACTGTAGCCCACCAGGCTCCTCTGTCCATGGGATTTCCCAGGCAAGAGTACTGAAGTGGGTTGCCATTTCTTTCTCCAGGGAATCTTCCTGACCCAGGGATCAAACCCACATCTCTTGCATTGGCAGGCAGGTTCTTTACCACTGAGACATTGCCTCACACTGGTCAGAATGGCCAACACCAAAAAAATCTACAAACAATAAATGTTGGAGGGGATGTGGAGAAAAGGGAACCTCTCTTGCAGAGTTAGTGGGAATATTAATTGATATAGCCAGTATGGAGATTTCTTAAACTAGGAATAAAACTACCCTTATGACCTAGCAATCTCACTACTGGACATACACTCTGAAGAAACCATAATTCAAAAAAACACATGTACCCCATTGTTCATTGCAACACTATTTACAATAGCTAGGACATGTCCTAGATGTCTATCAACAGATGAATGGATAAAGAAGTGGTGGTGTATACACCACACACACACACACACACACACACACACTAGAATATACCTCAGCCAGAAAAAGGAACCAATTTGAATCAGCTGTAGTGAGGTGGATGAACCCAGAGCCTGTTATACACAGTGAAGTAAGTCAGAAAAAGACCTAATGTCATTATTAGTGAATACACATGGAATTTAGAAAAAGGGTACTGATGAACCTATTTGCAGGGCAGGAATAGAGATGCAGATGTAGAGAACAGAGGAGGAGAGGGTGGGAGCAAGTGAGAGAGCATCATGGAAACACATACATCACCATGTGTTAAAACAGTCGGTGGGGAGCCGCTATATAACATAGGAAGCTCAATCCCGGGCACTGTGACAACCTAGAGGGGAAGGATGGGGCGGGAGTTGGGAGGGCGGATCAAGAGGGAGGGGACATACGATACTTATGACTGATTTATGCTGTTGTATGAAAGAAACCAACACATCATTGTAAAGCTATTATCCTTCAGTTAAAAATTTTTTAAAGATCTGGCTATTACTAAGGCTACTAAACTATGAAAAAAAGAAATCCAAGTACAAATATTTCATAACTTTCTTAGATGAAAGGAGAAGGAAGAATATGCACTTTTTTTTAATCTAGGTCAAATCAAGATGTCTATGTAATTTCCTATTTCTTCTTATAAGCAGCAATATATCTGCCTATTGCTTCAGCTGGAAATAAGATTTGTGTTTCAGGAAATGATTGTCTTTATCTTAAAATCTCCATGAGCTCTGCAATAAGAAGCTGATTTTAGATATTTTTAATGACCCTTCTTTCTTAAAAACAGACAACACACCTTCCTATTGTGAGAGATGAACTGGAATTAACACTTAGCATATGGCTCAGTGAGTAAAGAATCCACCTGCAATGCAGGAGACACAGGAAACATGGGTTCAATTCCTGGGTCGGAAAGATCCCTTGGAGGAGGATATGACAACCCACTCCAGTAGTCTTGCCCGGGAAATCCCACTAACAGAGGAGCCTGGAAGGCTACAGTCCAAAGGGTCACAAGGAGTCAGACACCACTGAACACACATGCACACACACCACACCCAGGCATACACACTACACCCACAAGGGGTGCTCTCAGTTCTGCTCTTAACTAGGATGGGGACTACTATGTCATCTCCAATCATGTTAATGAGTAGACGGGGCGAGGGGGTGTTGGGAGGCAGGGAGGAGGAAGAAAGAAGGGGATTACTCTTGTAGAAACACAGTGGAATGAAAACCCAGGGCATCAAATTGAAGAATGTTATAGTTATCATCCTGCTGTTAATGACATTATTCAAAATAAAAAGAAACTGTAGTCAATCAAAATACTCCACAGCCTCTGAAAGGACAACAATAAAAATCTTTTTGCAGATGGGGGTATAATCATTAGAGGCACACATGACCATAAATGAATGAGTTTAAGCTACAATGAAGCAATATACTCACCATTTGTACAAAAGTGCATGAGCTCATGAATTGTAGCTAGACGCTTTGTGCTATTCCATGGCGGGGGCAGAGGGAATTTAAGGAATTCCCACAGTGGCAACTTGGACTGCATCTCTTGTTCAATTTGAACTGGATCAAAATTCTTTAGGTCCTGATGAAAAAGAGCAATGTGACAGAAGACGTTAAAATAAGCTGTCAACTGCCTTATGCATATGGAGAAGGCAAAACATGATACCTTTGTTCTTATTATCTGGGAACAGGGGAAATCAATGGTAATTGGGGAAGACAAACTGTTGGTATTTTGCTGAAGGTCAAAAAAAGCTACTTCTCACTTTGCCAGAGATTCTTGGTACACAGAAATGATGGATTCCTTATTCACAGTGACAAACTGCCAAAGTCTCAAATATATTCCTGCCTCCCTTCTTAGATTCTTTTCTTGCCTCCACTATTTTTTTTCTTTCATATCAGCAGATATATAAAGCACATAACTGTAAGGTTTTAATACATATTTGGTGCAGTTGCAATGAATTTAATGGTTCATTGGCCCTCTCTATACGCGGGCCGGTTTTCTTTGCTGGTGTACTTTTTCCTTCATTCATGTCCATTTTCCAAGATCTTACTTTGCAGGTGTCTACTTTGTAGATAACTTTTAATTAGCATTGGTAAAGCTGTCCAATTAAGATTTCTACAACTGAATAATCACAAATGAGCTTTCTTGCATCAGTTATCCTCTGGGTAACCTGGTCAATTATTACCTTTAGCACGTACTTCCTGTGGGCATGGGCATCGTGATAGTTAAGTAGGAGAGGGCCTGTGGGCACTGGTTCGCTTTCATTTTCTTCTTCAGGTAAGAATATTTCACGGAGATTCTATTCAGATTAAAATAGTAATGATTTTAAGAGAGAATTCATACTTTTCAAAGTATGCGTACTTTTTTGGATTTCTCGTACCGTCTGACCTTTTTCTCCCTCTCTGTCAGACAGAGAGAGGGCAGGATGGATACGATGTGAGCTGCTATCCTGTAGTCCAACCCATCTGCCCTGGGAGGCGGCTCCACCAGACTTGGTGGGACAAGATCTTCTTCACTTGCCACAACCTGTTGATATAAAGAGTTGGGAGGAGGGACAGTCACTCAGTTGTGTCCGACTCTTTGTGACCCCATGGACTATATACAGACCATGGAATTCTCCAGGCAAGAATACTGGAATGCGTAGCCTTTCCCTTCTCCAGGGGATCTTGTCAACCTAGGGATCGAACCCAGGTCTCCCACATTGCAAGCAGATTCTTTACCAGTTGAGCCACAAGGGAAGCCCAAGAATACTGGAATGAGTAGCCTATCCCTTCCCCAGCGGATCTTCCCAACCCAGGAGTCCAACCAGGGTCTCCTGCATTGCAGGTGGATTCTTTACCAAGTGAGCTATCAGGGAAAAGTTGGGAGGTATTAGTTTTAATGGTCAGCTCTTGATCAATATTTATGTATTCCCTTTGCTTTTAGTAAAAAGAAGGCAGTTTCTACCCAAAAGTATGGTGATTATACAAAGTGGCAGTATAAAATTAACCAGTGACTACCAAAATAAAAGGGATAGTGTTTATAACCTATATATTGAAGTAAAATTTTAATGCATGTATTAGAATAGACAACACAAAATGCAAATGCTAAAAAAGAAAATTTACCATAGTAGAAATCAAAATAACAATATTAATATATATTTTTAATGATTCACTCTTTCTCTTAAAGCACTCAAAACCTTGGTTTCATATCTTTGGATTCAATAAATATTTATTGATTGCCTACCACCTACCAAGCATGTGTAGGGCACTTTCACATATATTATCTCATTTAAGCCTCACAGCAATATTGCTGAGTAGGTAGTATTTCCTATTTTACATAAATGGAACTAGGGTGAGTGAAATTAGGTGCCTGGCCCTAATTAGTAGTTCAAAAACTAATTTGGACTACTAAAAAGTAGTCCAAAACTACTTAGTGGGTGGAACTGGGGGTTCAGGTTAAATCCCCAAGATAGAAAAGTTATAGACAGTGAGATCAGTTAAGGGTAACATTCCCCTTTACATGGTAAACAAAAAAGTTGAAATGTAATCAAGACAGGCACCTAATTTATAATTGTTCTCTTCACCTTAAATACAGAAATCACCCTCTGATTTCACACCCCTCTGCAGGACTTCTCAACCTTGAAACTTAAGGCATTTGGACTAGATGCTTTTTGCCATGGGGGCTAACTTGTGCACTATATGGAATGTTTAGCAGCATCCCAGGCCTCAAGCCATTTGGTGCCAGTAGAACACCTTCAACTGTGGCAACCAAAAGTATTTCCAGACGTTGCCAAATGCCCCCTTTGAGGCAACTCCCCCTGTTGAGAACAATAGCAAAACAGTCTTACACTCTTACTGTTTATCAACACCTTACTTTTCAAAGAGTCACTCCTGTCTCCACTTCCTCTCTTCCTACCATCTCTTGGACCCATTCCAATCACAAAAGACCATACAGAACTGTTCCAAGTCTGAAATATTGAAAATTCTAATATTCCCTCTTATAATATCCCACCCGATTCCTCTTATATTTTAATTCTTCATCCCTTTATTATTAAGCATGTTTTCAGCCAACATGTATCTTTTATGGGAGTCTAGGTGTCAGGCACTGAGCTCATTAGCTGTCTGTCACCTTTGGTACCTGGAAAACAGTAGGTGGTTAATAAATGGTTGTTGCTCTAAGTTGAAAAAAATAAGGAAGACTAAGATAAATGATACTATAAGCTCTCTAGGGCTGTTGAACTTTTACAAATATAGTGACATAATAAAATACTGATCTCAAAGCGTTACAGGGTAATTAAAGGCAAATAAACATAAGTGTATTTACCTAATTGGTTAGACAACTAAAGCAGTCAACAAACAAAATATATAATGGAGGTAAAAGAGATGATAGAGTCTAAAAATATTTTAATATTCAGGGAGATAAAGGAAATGTTACATACATGAAGCAAGAACAATAGGCAGTTATAAGGGAAATTAAAGAATTTATAATTTTAAAAAGTTACTGTTGAAACAAAATTTCAATAGCAGACCAGACTCCATGGAAAAATGAATTAGTTGGAAATCTTAAGCTGAAATTCTCAAAGGGGTAAATTTGCAAGAAAATTTCAAATACATGAAGGAAAAAACCAGAAATTCCAACATCCATCTAATAATAAGTGTGTGTGTGTGTTCAGTTACGTCCAATTCTTTGCAACACTTTGGACTGCAGACTGCCAGGCTCCTCTGTCCCTGGGACTTTTGGGGCAAGAATACTGGAGTGGGTTGCCATTTCCTCCTCCAGGAGATCTCCCTGACCCAAGGATCAAATCCGCATCTTATGCATTACAGGCAGATTCTTTGCTGCTGAGCCATCAGAGAAGCCCTAATAATAATTAGGATAAATAAATAAATAGAAACAATATTTGAAGACATAATTGAATGAATACATATTGTGTCTACTATGGGTTAGGTGTGGTTATTGCATCCTGAAGAGAGAGCAATAAACAAGACTAGATTAGGGACTTCACTGGCAGTCCAGTGGTTACGAGTCTGCCTGCCAGTGCAGGGGACATGGGTTCAATCCCTGGTCCAAGAGGATTCGATATGCCTCAGGACAATTAAGCCCACACACCGTAACTCCTGAGCCCATAACTCCTGCACATTATAGACCTCATGCTCTGCAAACAAGAGAAGCCACCGCAATGAGAAGCCCACACACTTCTACTAGAGAGTAGCCTCCACTCGCTGCAACTAGAGAACACCCACAGGTAGCAATGACGACTTAGCACAGCTGAAAACAAATAAAATAAAAGACTACTTTAGGTCCCTGCTTGCATGGAGCTTACATTCTAGTGAGAAGAAGAAAGACATAAAGCAAATAGACCTCTTTTTGAAAGAGCAGTTGTTGTAAGAAAGTAAAATAAGGTGAAGTGGTAGAGAGCATTTTTTGTTGTTGTGGGCTTTCTTTAGACCAAGTGGTCAGAGAAAGCCTACTTCAGGAGCACTGTGTTCTCTGGGGATTAAATGACAGGGAGTATCCAACAGGCAGACATGTGGGAGCAATATTTTCCAGGAAGAGAAGTTAGAGTGAAAACACTAAGGTGGAATAAGTATATGTAAGGAAAAACTAGAAAGCCTATGTAGATGACCAATAGTATAAGTGTGCGTGTGGTGGGGGGCAGGAGATGACAGAAGCAGCCCAGAACCATATTTTTAGGGTCTTTATGGATCAGCATAAGGAATTTTGATTTTACTCAGAATGTTATCAGAAACCAGACTTTAATCTTTTCAATCATAAAGACAATGATAAAACAAATCCATATCTACACACAGCCTTGTGTTATCAATTATAAAAAGAAAACTCTAATAGCTGCCAGAATTAAAAAATAGATTACCTATAAAGGAAAATATTCACTGGAAGGACTGATGCTGAATCTGAAGCTCCAATACTTTGGTCACCTGATGTGAAGAACTGACTCATTGGAAATGACTCTGATGCTGGGAAAGATCGAAGGCAGGAGGAGAAAGGGACAACAGAGGATGAGGTGGCTGGAGGGCATCACTGACTCAATGGACATGAGTTTGAGCAAACTCAGGAAGATAGTGATGCACAGAGAAGCCTGGTATGGTGCAGTTCATGAGGTTGCAGAGTCAGACATGACTTAGCAACTGAACAACAATAACAAAGGAAAAAGTTTCTGATTGATGTCAGACTTCTTATCAGCAACATGAGAAGGAAGATCACAACAGAGCAATGCTATCAAAATACTTTTCCACGTAGACTGATAAGATTCAAAAGCAGTTTCTGTCACTTACTACTTGGACAAGTTACTTAACCTTTTTTATGCCTAAGTTTCCTTATCTGCAAAATGGGAATAAAAATGGTTCCTACTCCCTAGGGTTGTTTCAAGAATTAAATGAGCTGATAACAAACTTTTCTCAAATGCATCTACAGCATTCATAAGAACTGACCATGTGTACGAGGTCACACAGGAAGTCTGGGAAATTAAAAAAAAAATTTTAACACCCAGATCATGTTTACTGGCCATAATGAAATAAAATCAGAAATGGACAATAAAGAGTGGAAATTAAAAGACTTAGAACTGAGTACTCTGAATGCATTATGATGGGTCCAAGAAATACTCAAAATGCATAGGTTTAAGTAAAGTGAAATAGAAAGTAAACCAAGTGAACTTTCAATTAAAATGAATTGCTAAATAAACCAAAGAAAGTAGGAAGAAGGAAATAATAAAGATAAATGAAGAAATTAGTAAAGTAAAAAGGAGTGGATCAATGAAAAAAATGCTGTTCTTTGAAAAGACCAACAATCAATAAACCATCGACATCCATGATCAAGAAAAGAGGGCACTAAAAAATAACATTGGTCATAGGGAAGGAACATAACCGATACAGAGAGAATTTTTAAACGTATATTAGTGAATAAAGAGCTTCTAGGATATTGAAAACACAAATAAAATGGATATTTATTTAAAAAGATGAATGACTAAAATTGGCCTCAGAAACAGAAAAATCTGATTAAATCTACAAGAGTAAAAGAAACTTTAAATGCAGTTGAAGACCATTAACCACCCTGTCCACCTGCCCAACTCCTCTCTCTTTCATTAAAATGACACCTGATAGTATTTAAACACATGCCTACCACAACTTCAGGGTATGTTATATAAATGGTTCCAGAGCATAGCAAAAGAAAGAGGACTGAAGCTCATAAGAAAATTTTAGCTTTATCTAAAATGTCCTAATCTTTGTAAAGAGAGAATGTAAAGGAGAATGCATTCAGGCATTACAAGCCTATTTTTAAAATAGTCTTTTAAAAAAGAAAGGGAGGTGAAGTACCTGACTACACGTCGCCTGCCAGGGAAGAAAGTTCCAGGATGTATCCACTTACCTGTTCCAGCATACAGTGCAGTATCAAGGGCACAGAAATGAATTCCTCTGGAATGGGATTTAGCAAATCATTGTAGTATCTCAGGTCTACTTCCTTTGTGATGATGGAAGCCACTGTAAAAGATACAAATTATTGTGGTTCAGTTAAAACGTGCTCTCCATTTCTTCCATTCACAGATTCAAACTCTGATCATGCCCTGATAAACGCAGGAGCTGGGGGTGGAGGGAGGGGTGAAAGCAACATGGAGGACAATCATTCCCTAAAGCACCAGCTCCTGATGCTGATTCTCCGGCTGCTCCATACATGCCTGGTTGTGGTGGTAGCAGTGTTGGTGGAGGAGGAGCTGGGATTTGTGGCTCTTCATATTGTTGTGTTTTCTTCTTTCCAGGGATTGTGACAACAGGTTGTGGAGGCTAAAAGAACAATTAAAAAGGAACAATTAAAACATCCAGTTGAGAGATGCTTTCATCCAATGCTGGGATGATGGGATTTCGATGGGATTCTGAGGTTGCATGATTCTGTTCACACCACAAAATCATTTGCTAATATGAGGGTCAAATAAGCAAATTTTGTCCACAGAAGGAAAGAAGTTAATGGGTATGGAGATTTCTCAGTTTTTTCCTAATAGAACCCACTAAGCAATGGAATTCCAGTTGAGCTATTTCAAATCCTGAAAGATGATGCTGTGAAAGTGCTACACTCAACACGCCAGCAAATTTGTGAAAACTCACCAGTGGCCACAGGACTGGAAAAGGTCAGTTTTCATTCCAATCAAAAAGAAAGGCAATTCCAAAGAATGCTCAAACTACCGCACAATTGCACTCATCTCACATGCTGGTAAAGTAATGCTCAAAATTCTCCAAGCCAGGCTTCAACAATCCATGAACCATGAAATTCCAGATGTCCAAGCTGGTTTTAGAAAAGGCAGAGGAACCAGAGATCAAATTGCCAACATCCGCTGGATCATTAAAAAAGCAAGAGAGTTCCAGAAAAACATCTATTTCTGCTTTATTGACTACGCCAAAGCCTTTGTCTGCTGGATCATTAAAAAAGCAAGAGAGTTCCAGAAAAACATCTATTTTTGCTTTATTGACTATGCCAAAGCCTTTGACTGTGTGGATCACAATAAACTGTGGAAAATTCTGAAAGAGATGGGAATACCAGATCACCTGACCTGCCTCTTGAGAAATCTGTATGCAGGTCAGAACTGGACATGGAACAGACTGGTTCTAAAATAGGAAAAGGAGTATGTCAAGGCTGTATATTATCACCCTGCTTATTTAACCTATATGCAAAGTACATCATGAGAAAGGCTGGGCTGGATGAAGCACAAGCTGGAATCAAGATTGCCAGAAGAAATATCAATAACCTCAGATGTGCAGATGACACCACCCTTATGGCAGAAAGTGAAGAACTAAAGAGCCTCTTGATTAAAGAGGCTTCAAGCTCAACATTCAGAAAACTAAGATCATGGCATCCAGTCACATAACTTCATGGCAAATAGATGGGGAAACAGTGGCAGACTTTTTTTTTTTTTTGGCTCCAAAATCACTGCAGATGGTGACAGCAGCCATGAAACTAAAAGACACTTACTCCTTGGAAGGAAAGTTATGACCAACCTAGATAGCACATTAAAAAGCAGAGACATTACGTTGCCAACAAAGGTCCATCTAGTCAAGGCCATGGTTTTTCCAGTAGTCGTGTATGGATGTGAGAGTTGGACTATAAAGAAAGCTGAGTGCAGAAGAATTGATGCTTTTGAACTGTGGTGTTGGAGAAGACTCTTGAGAGTCCCTTGGACTGCAAGGAGATCCAGTTAGTCCACCCTAAAGGAAATCAATCCTGAATATTAATTGGAAGGACTGATGCTGAAGCTGAAACTCCAATACTTTGGCCATATGATGTGAAGAGCTGACTCATTTGAAAAGACTCTGATGCTGGGAAAGATTAAAAGTGGAAGGAGAAGGGGACAACAGAGGACGAGATGGTTGGATGGCATCACCAACTCAGTGGATGTGAGTTCAAGTAAACTCCAGGAGTTGGTGATGGACAGGGAGGCCTGGCGTGATGCAGTCCATGGAGTTGCAGAGAGTCGAACACAACTAAGCAACTGAACTGAAGTCATCACCAGGAAAGGGGTGGGAAGATGGGGCACTAAGAGTCAGGATTTTCTTCCCTAGGGTGACTCAGAATCATGCCAGTCTCCCTCTGAGAATCCTTGAATGGTTTCCGTTGCTTTCAGGATAAAACCCAAACTCTTGAGCTCAGCACCGAAGAACATCTTGGCTTCCACCTTTCCAGCTTTTGTTGCTGTTCTCCACTCTGTACGTATGGCCTGGAAGCACTGCCCACCCTGTGGTGTGGTTCTGGCCATAATACTTCTTTGTTTTGACCTCCCTGTCTTTGTAACATCTTTGTCCCTTTCTTGAGAGTACCACCCTGTCCCTCTCCCCAACCAGGGTTTACCCAGGCAATTCATCGTCAGCCTTCAGCCGATCACTTACTCTGCCTGGGAAGGCCTTCTTGATTTCCATCTCTCTAACCTCCTCTGCTCAGGAGCAGGTTAGGTGCCATATTTATAGCTTCTCCTGAAACCTCAGCTGACTATCCTCCCGGCACTCATCATGCTAAATTGCAACCACCTTTGACTTGACTGCCTTTAAAGCTTAACCTCAGTGAGGAGGACAGGGGGTGGATATTGTTCATTATTGCATTGCCAGCCCCTGGTACAGTGCCAGCACAGAGTAGGTGTTAAATAACAATGGTTGGGCTTCCCAGGTGGTGCTAGTGGTAAAGAACCTGCCTGCCAAGGCAGGAGACATAAGAGATGCGGGTTCGACCCCTAGATGGGGAAGATCCCTTGGAGGAGGGCATGGCAGCCCACTCCAGTAATCTTGCCTGGAGAATCCCATGGGCAGAAAAGCCTGGCAGGCTAGAGTCCATGGGGTCTCAGAATCGGACACTACTGAAGGGAGTTAGCATGCACATAAACACGGTGATTAAATTATCAATAGCCCTCCTGGTTCCAGATGTTGTTTATTGTACCATGGCTGAAAAGCAGGTTCTATCATCCCCTCTGTGTGTGGTAGGTAGTTGGGGAGCTTCATAAAGTCCCCACCATATGGATACCTTTAATACTGTGCCTGGGGTCCTTGATCCCACACTTACCTGTTAAATACCAGCAGGCAGAGTCCCCTTGCTACCAATATTTGTGATCTTTTTCTTCGTATGTTTTATAAATGTGAAAATTAAGTTGTTCAATGAATCACTCGGCCCATTAAAGACACTCCAGAATGTGCCTACCTCAGGAATCACCGTCACTTCAAAGATAGGCTTCTCACTAACCACCTGTGGGACGTTAATAAGCTGCATGCTTTCCAAATAGTGCTGGTGCTGCCTTTTCCAATCCAGGGTGTCGTACATCAAACAGGCAACATTTTCAAAAATTTCGGTGCCCAATTCCAGCTACGGGTGAGAATAACGACAATTAGTTCTTAGCTTTATATTGTTGGAATCAGATGTATGGTTTGTATCTCCCATAAAGCCAAACCTATGATTTTCACAGGGAAGCCCTTTCCCAGCTGGTCCCCAAACCATTGAACCCTTCTGGCCCTTCACCACAATGCAGACTGTTCCCTTTGGAGGGCCTCTGGCTGCCTAGTATTGTAAGAGTCTGATTAATGCTTCAACAAGGTAGAAAATGCCATATTCATTCGTTTCAGCAGAGAGGCCTATTTTCTAGGCATCTCCATTCCTGAAGCAACTCATGAGATAGGTAATTTCCGCATCCTCAGCCCAAGGCAAGCTGGGGCTGAGCTCTTGCTCGGCCACACAAGAACTGCAATGGATTCTCCCACGCTCTCCATGAAAACAGACTGCAGTGTGTGTGCAATCAGGATTTCTTCCTCTCCTCACTGTGCTACCTGTAGGGAGAAAACCCTAACAGATCTTGATAGACCAGTACTCCATGATACCTGCAAGTCTTATGATCTGGCAAGCAGGTCATAGATCAGATATCTCTATTACCTTGGCTTTCATTTCCAGAAGTGGAAAAGCACAGTTATCATTAAGTCTGCTTGAAAGCAAAGGAGGATTAGATAGGCTCCTCCTGTGTTCGAGCTGAAGTGCTAAGGTAGAGTGAGAAAGCTCCTAGCGGGGCCAGTGACTCAGCCTGGCAGGAGTTCAGAGACAAGCCAGCTTTGCACATCCTTACAGCACACCTTAGTCTGGGCTTCACGGGTCCCCTCCAGGGCTTAGAATTCCTCAGTAAAACTTCAACCTGATATTCTCTGCCCACATTCTGGCACAGAAACATATTTTTGCGTGCCTGTATTTATAAAAAATAGAGTAAAAGCTTCTGGTCAATTATCCCTTAGCTTAACTAGCTAATTTCTTTTTAAATCAAACAGCAAATCACATGCTAAAAGCCAGAAAATTATTTCAGCAACCCAGGGCTTAACTTGAGATGTTGCAGATGTCGTCCATAGGCAGTTAGCACTTCTTGATGGGCATTTATTTGATGTAAAGCTTTCGTTACCTGGGTTCAGCAGAAATACAGCCTGCTTGTTTGCAGCCAAAGGTACTAATGCTTTCCTTCTTCCAGAGAGAAAGACGACTACTTGGCTGGCTCCTGGCTTGGATGTGAGGCCATTATCAACTTACAGATAGAGCTGAGAGTGGAATACCGTCTATCTACAGTATGTATGTAGGCTACTTGTATTAGAAATAGGTTTATTACTTCTGTATTTTTCAAGTGATCCTAAGTTTACAATGAATTTTGATTTTCAGTATTAAACCCAAAGATCTTTTCTTCTGAAACCCAACTCTGTTACTGAACTGCTTTTAAGGCTTTCTTTGTCCATCATTATTTGTGCTGGGTTGCTCACTCACAAACTGGACCTTGCAAACGTATGTCTTGGCTCTAAAAGTCTGCTGCAGTTGGACCCAGATCATGGCTCTGGCATGAAGCTGATGTTCAATAAATACTTGCAAAATGGCTGATAGAAGATTGGTATGTCCACTCAGGCAGCACAGTTGATTGATCTCATTTCCTCATTTACCTTCCTCATTTACCTCATGGCCCAACTCTAGATATTAATCTTCTACTTCTGAAGTCAGGAGTATATATGCATAAGGAGCAGTGTGTTAATGTCTTAGTCGTGTCCAACTCTTTGCTACCCCATGGACTGTAGCCTGCCAAACTCCTCTGTCCATGGAATTCTCCAGGCCAGAATACTGGAGTCTGTAGCCATTCCTTTTCTCCAGGGGATCTTCCTGAACCAGGGATTGAACCTGGGTCTCCTGCATTGCAGGCAGATTCTTTAGGGATTGAACCTGGGTCTCCTGCATTGCAGGCAGATTCTTTACCGTCTGGGCCACCAAGAAAGTCCCAACAGTATTTCAAACTGATATTACTTTTTCAACATGAAAGTTCTTAACTTTAATTGCCATTTAAACTCTTCTACTCTATATTTTTAAAAAGGAAAATATAGCCACATTCACTTTCTTTAAAAATTGAGTGATTAGGGACCTTCCTGGCAGTCCAATGGTTAAGATTCTGCACTTCCACTGCAGCAGATACCAGTTCGATCCTGGGTTTGGGAATGAAGATTCCATGTGCCACATGGTGTGGCAAAAAAAATAATAAAAAACTGTTTTTAAAATGGAGTGATTAAAATCTAATGAACAGAAAGCTTTTAATACTGGCATAGGAAACAGGATGCTGTGAATGGTGCTGAGTCTTTTGGAGTTGCAACTGTGTGTCTTGATGTTCACATCTATGTACTGAGGATGCAATGGAATGTCTTCTACCCTGAGTTCAATGCACATCAGCTCCTCTCAGCCTCTGCCTGGGGAGGGCATAAGACACACAGAAGGGAGCCCTAGTTAGAGCAGGAGCAAAATGTTCTTGGTTTGAGGCTGCCTTAGAAGACTCTTTGTATTGCCTCCCCTTAATAATGATTCATCTTCCCCGATGGCTCAGCAGGTAAAGAATCTGCCTGCAAAGCATGAGACACAGGATATGTAAGTTCAGTTCCTGGGTCAGGAAAAATCTCCAGGAGAAGGAAATGGCAACCCACTCCAGTATTCTTGCCTGGGAAATCCCATGGACAGAGGATTCAAGATCTATATGGCTGGGATCTCCTATGCTCTATTAAATCAAAATTGCACATAAGTTCTTTCAAAGGTATGTGGCCAAAACTTGGCCCAAATGAGAGGAGGAAATGTTTTCACAAAACTTAAATTTGTGGATGTGAGTTTTTAAGTTAGGATAAATTTTTAAATTCTCGGAAGAAGAGCTGGTTTATCATCAAGATAGAGTAGACAGCTGTCTTTGAGATGGTGTTTCAGGATCCCAGGGCTATAGCCTCTTTCCCATTTGCTGGGCATAATCGAGAACTCCAAGAAAACAGGATGGAGTAGTCACAGTATGACAGTGCCTGGAATGCCAGTATCTCTGGGATAGAGAAACATGGCCCGACTTAACATGGAGTAGTAAAGGACAGGTGGACTCTTTTCTGAGCTCTGGTTTAGCAGGCAGGGGAGTGAAAGCAAAGCAGGACAGAGGAAGATATCTAGATGAAGGGATGGGGTGATGCCAAGCAGAGGGATTTCACAATAACCAGCTTTGCCTTCAGACACAGATTTTCTATGCTCAGCTTTGTTTCCATGTATCTTAGTGATGGTGAAAGTCACTTAGTTGTGTCTGACTCTTTGTGACCCCATGGACTGTCATCTGCCAGGCTCATGTGTCCATGGAATTCTCCAGGCAGAATACTGGAGTGGGTAGCCATTCCCTTCTCCAGGGGATCTTCCCATCAAGGCTAGTATTTATTCTTACTACTGTCAAGGTAGACTTCCCTGATGGTTCAGTGGTAAAGAATCTGCCTACCAATGCAGGGGACATGGGAGATGCGGGTTTGATCCCTCGGTCAGGAAGGTCCCCTGAAGAAGGAAATGGCAACCCACTTTAGTATTTTTGCATGGGAAATCCTATGGACAGAAGAGCCTGGTAGGCTACAGTCCATGAGGTTGCAAAGAGTTGGACACAACTTAGTGACTAAACAATAATAACAATAGTTGCCAATAGTATGAGACTTAAGTGTTCTGTTTCTACATGGTAACATCTAATACCTCATGTTGACATTCTTTGTCACTCAACCTGATGTATCCACTGCTACTTATTCAAATCCTGTCTGTCCTTCAGGGTTCAAATCTAGGCTTCCCTTCTCGGTGTTTTCACGTAATTCACCCAGTGCACATCCATCTGAAGGTAACAGAAGCAGGGATTCTCATAGTGAGAACTGGCCATGTGGCAACCCATGGTCACGAGCAGCCTACCCTTTGGCTCAGAAACTCCAGGACTTGATGTCATTCTTTTCCTCTTAGACCGTCAGGTTTGCATTTTGTTTGTTTGGGAGCTACCCACAGTCACTGTCCACAGACAGTCATCCTCCCCTTCCATCCTGTTTCTCCCAGCTTCCTTCAGGACACCTTGATGTGGTCCTTCTCCGGGACTCTGCTTTCAGTTCAAGTCCTTTCAATACTGACATATATTACCCTGTAAGGGATTCAACACTCCTGGTCCCGTGTTTGTTGGGAGCCATGGTGGTCAGCCAGAAGAGACCTGAGAGGTCTCTTTTTTTATAACAGGAATGTCTGGATACGGATATCTTCCCCAACATCTGTGATAAGTAGTTGCTCAACATTCTTTTTTAAAAACACCCTCATATATACAGATTTTGTTACTTTTTAGAGCAGCCTAATTCTTCTTTTTCTGAATTAGTAAAAAACAAGAGTGTTTCATATAACAGAGCACGTAGATGTATGGCATCTTGAACACTGCTTCTCTGTTTCATGATTTTGGTCTTGCCTTTCTGCAAGTACCTCAATAGCAGGGGGCCAATAAATACACTCAGGAAATGCCTGCTAATTGTTGGCTTGGGGTCAAGTCATTCTATTAAGATAAACCTTGTCAGGCAAATAAATTAAAAATACAATTTTGGCAATAAAAGCAGGACCTAGAAGAACAATGTTTTGAACTAATGTATAAAAAAGAAAGACAATGTAATTCAACAAACTGTAAAATTCAGTATTTTCATAATTTATATATATTAAGACTCTGCTGCCTAGAACCTTAAGGTATGAAGCAAACCCACATGTCACCAAATAAAATAATTACCATGCTTTATCTTCATCTACATCTTATTCTTTTGACATTAATTCATACACTAAAAGTTAAAGTATCAGGCTATAGCCATTATCAGACATTCAATGTGCCCACTGTCTTAAAGATAAACCAGCCTAGCACAAAACCTTCTCTATAGACAGTGATCAATAAATATCTGTGGAATGAACAGATGGGGCAAATGGAAGCACAGTGTCACATGTTCAAACTAGTCAGTCTCACTAATGCATGTACTAACCAACATCTCGCTGTCTGACCAGTCAGAAGGAAACTTGTCAGCCTTGATCGTGTATTCAAGCCGAGCGACATCAAAGAGATTTGTTTCTGGTTTCTGGTTATTCAGGATTGGTTCCAAGTACTTCCAGAAGATTTCAAGTTCTTTTATGCCATTCTCTTTCTTCAGTTTTTCAGCTTCTATTTCTAATAAGAGCAACATGTTTATACTGCAAAATGAGAGTGCTGAATTTCATCCCACTTGCAGTGCTTGTGGTGAGTCATATACATTGCCCAATGTCTGTACAGTACCAGAAAATACAAATAAAGGTAATTTTGAGAAGTGTTTGGACCTGGACTATATAATTAAACATCAGAGGATTTTACTTCTGAAATTATTATTAAATATGAGCTTTTCCAACCCCTTTATTTTATAGTTGAAGCCTAGAAAGATAATAATAAGGTCACACATTTTGGGAGCTAACTATGGCCAATATTTCCATCACTCCTATGCTGTATTTGTAGAGGAGCAATTTTCCTGCCAAACCACTTTTCGACCATTTTAGCATTTGTTTGATGCATAACTGCAGTTGATCCAGTTTTCCTTCCTGTGTGGCTAAAAACACACTGGATCCATGATTTCTGCTCCAGTTAACTTTAGGCCACATTGAAATAGCTACTAGCTTCTCTGGGCATTTGTACTCTGACTGTAAAATAACAACAGTTTTCCATAAAGTTACACTTGAAAATTTGTCTGACATGTTTTGTTTTTTTTCCATCTACAACTAAATAGGTCCTACTACTAAGATCTCATTATTCTAAAGTCTCTCTTTTTGTGATTTTATTTTTATATATTAAATATTTTTTTAATAGAAAGACTATGGAACTTATGGGTTTATCTGGTGGTTCAGATGGTAAAATGCAGGAGACCTGGCTTCGATCCCTGGGTAAGGAAGATCTCCTGGAGAAGGGAATGGCTACCCACTCCAGTATTCTTGCCTGGAGACTTCCATGGGCAGAGGAGTCAGTATTTTCTCATTGGCTTCAATAATAATTATTTAATGTTACAACTAGCCTTTGAGACAGGAGTAGCTGGATTTGAATCCTGGCTCTTTTATTTAATAGCTGCCCCTAGACTGAAAGTCGTTTCCTGTAAAATGGAAATAATAAAACATACTTCCAAGGGTTGTCATGGAAACTACATGAATCAACACACTTAAAGCCCTCAGCAATAAGCCAAGTTTCAAGGCCTATGCCCAATAAATGGTAGCTATTATTATTATCAAGGTTAGCTATTTCTAACCTGGAATGGCAAATTTTAAAATGTCGTGTTATAGAAATTGGGATGTGGCTGTGTAGGTTACAAAGTCCTGTGCAAAAAATATTACTAATAAATAACAAAAAGGTGAAACAACATACGGCAAAAAGAGCATGAACTTCCAGGTCACAGAGGCTTATGCTGAATCCTAATTCTAGCACCCACACAGTAGAGTTTTGTTCCCTTCCCATAGAGGGAGTCGGGTTCAATTCCCTTCGAGGAAGACCCTGAGGCTCAGGATAGCTGAACAGCAGTGTAGGTGGGGCTTCATCCTATAGCTTCCTGGTCCAAGGCCCGGAATAAAAGCACCCCTTCTGATTTGTCACAATAAGCCAGTAGCAAAGCCAAGCAAGAATCCAAAGTGATGACCGCCCCGCCCCGCCCCCAGGGCCATTTGGTGACTGTGGCTGCTGGCAGAAATGATTCTCCATAGTTGATCCACCCAGCGCATGCTTTAGGTAAAAGTTACATATCAAAATTCCTGAGAAATGGAGTTGGATAACCAACTCTATGTTCTCTGTGGCTGGCAGGGATAGAAACAAAGGGTATGATTTGAATTTGCAAAATTTACAACACCTGGCTCGTGCAAGCAGCATAAACAGCAAATCGGTCTCAAAAGGATTTAACAATGTGTGTATCGTAGGACTATGTTTTGGACAGAAAGTTGTATTTGTTCTTTAAGGACAGTGGGTAATATTGAAGGATTCGGTAAGTTGCTTAGCAGACTGCATACCTTCTGGCTGAAGAAAACTTTCCTGCTGTTGGCTAACTGCTGCCAGGTGTGTCTGCAGAGGTTCATAATTCTCTGAAGCTATTTTAATCACGCTGCTTATGGGAATGCCAAGCTCCGTCATGATCGCTAATAGCTGAGGATTGTTGAAGCCCACGACTATAAAGTAATGCTGGGCACCGTCATCTGGCTCGTCGTCTGTTCAAAAAATACCGTAGAGAAGAGCAGCCATCATTTTAAAAGAGAACAGGTTGCACGCAGCCAGTTCAATGGCTCCATACATTATGCATGCGTTTATCATCCCCGGGGCTTGCCAAGAGCAGTGGGGTTGGCTGGAATGCAATCCTGTTGACTGGTTTTCATTATTGCCCTTCCAGTAAGAAGGCTGTGGCCATTTTACAAAATATTAAATCACTGTTGCAAATGAGACAAAGGCATAATAGAAAGACAAACATACAGAGGGCCTGTCGTCATGGAAAATGTGTTTGGGTTTTCATGGGAAAAAAAAGTCTAGGTTGAAATTTTTCTTGGTTCTAATCTCTTGAGCAACATCTGGCTTTACTCCTGAATTACGAGTAGCTGAAGCTTTGTGATATTTTATAAGTAGAGGTGTTTACAGGAGAGGGAAATATTGAATATGAACATACTCCCTACCAAAGCATTCTGTGTGTTTATGTCAATAGGTGTGGATGCAGAGTATAGGTTATGTAGCAACAATATTATTTATTGCATTCAATTTTAAAATACATATTGTGCACATTCCTAAAATTTTTCTCCTTGACTTTATCCTGGCTACATTGTTCTATTAGTGTTAGAACATGAATTTATATTAGAATGTTAGATTCTGAGGGGTGAGAAAAATTGTCATACTTTGATATCAGTACTAGATGGTGCATGGAAACATTACATCTCATGATGGTTCATTAAGATCAACTTAAAAACAGAGCAACAGATGCACAAACTTTCGATCTTCAAGTAGTGATTTTTCTTCAGTTACTAAAACAAATCAGTATTGATGCTGCCCATGAAGTCCATAATATAATTGCTCCTAAGTAAGTAGGTTTAGAGCAGAGATGTATTATGGGAGTCAAATTGGTAAAGAATGTGAAGACCTGCCATCTCATTTAAATACAATGTGCATAACAACAGTAGCTCCATTTAGATTCATGGGAAGGGAGAAATAACTCATAGCTGTCTAAGGTGAATAGTTTTTATATAGACAATCTAAATGAAAGAAAATTCTGGTTGCTCTATCTAGGACAAGCAGTAGGAGAAGTTGAGGTCAGGAAGCTACATGCTCTACTTGACTCACAAATTAACTGGTCTGATTTTATTGGTATTGTATTTCATTTGTGACAATAATTACTTTTTGCTTTGCCTTACAAGTGTCTCTGACTTTCTCAAAATGTTCCCAAATAGACACTAAGCTGCTTGGTAGCACACTCAGCTTGTGACTTCATCTTTTATTTGCACTGTGAAAATATGCCTATAGCACGACACATGCTAAAGAAATACTGGCTGAAAACATAAATGAATTGCAGGTAGAAATATTTTTCTACCAAGGTGTCATGGGCAGCATGGGATTTATGGTTTTAAAAAAGGGGAAAGCCTGGGGAAGATTAAGCATAGTGATTGGAATGGTTTCTCAAGTTCATAGGTCATAAGTCAAGAAGTGAAAGGAGCATTTCACTGACCAATGTATTGTTTGGTGTCATCCTCTTCTCCCCTCCTCACTAACTGGGTGGTCTTTTTCACGGCAATGTTTGCCTCTGGCTGGTCCTTTCCCTTTCCTTTGGCAACCTTGGCAGATGGGGACTTCTTCTCCTTGGGAGATTTTGCTTTCACTTTATCCTTTTCTATCTTAAATCTGTCTTCTATGACCTGGAAAGACAGAACACTTTTCATTAAACCATACAGTGAGCAGGCAATGGATTTTCTACTATCAGGTAAATTAATGCTTTATTTCATGCAATCACTCCTTTTACTCATTTATTCATTCTTCACGCCAGGAGAGTGAAGATTTCAGATTGAGTCTAAGCTGTGAGAAGGTACATCAATTCACCAAGAAGGGTAAATGCTAAGAGACTGTCATACACACATCCCTCTTGAAGGGAATTCGTCTTAAAGGAGCCAGGCTTGGCCTAATAAACAACCAACTGAGGCTGTTGCTGGTGGATCTCGAATATATTGTGATGGCAGGGACTTAGGTTTATCATGTTAATTAACCTGGGGGTCTCTATTTTTGTCTTACAGACATGTGGGGTTGCTAACAAAACAAAAATTTTAAATAAAAAGGGAAACAGAAAGTGCTTTTTTTTTCTAGAATCTCCATGATAGTCCTTCCAGGTTTAAGTAGTGTGTCAACCACTTTTAAGTGTTAAAGGATTCTTTTGAGAACCGAGCACTAACAAACTATTTTTGGTATAATGCCATTTAAAAAATGTGTAGATGGGATCAATGGTTGCTATCTGATATGTTCAAAGAGATCAATATAACACTTCGGTTGGCAATGCCTATTCTTTATACACTGTTCTGGGGCATGCTGAGATTGTCACATACCAACTAAAGACCTAATTTTTTTTTTAAACCATTTTTTCTTTCCAAACAATTGCCAAAACCTCTGTACTTTATTTAATAATGTAATTACAATTTTCATTCATGTGTTATAAATACAAATAGACTGAGTTCATTGAAATGATGTGGTAGTACTGGATAATATAGAAGACCCAGAATATGCTTATGTTATTTACTTTTCCCATGTTCAACAAAACAGGACACAAACATAACTAAACAAAATACTGTAGCAACATTGGGGGCTCTGTGTTTTCCTGAGTTCTTTTTTTTTTGTACTTTTTTTTTTTCATTTATTTTTATTAGTTGGAGGCTAATTACTTTACATCATTGCAGTGGTTTTTGTCATACATTGAAATGTATTAACCATGGATTTACATGTATTCCCCATCCCAATCCCCCCTCCCACCTCCCTCTCCACCCGATCCCTCTGGGCCTTCCCAGTGCACCAGGCCCGAGAACTTGTCTCATGCATCCAACCTGGGCTGGTGATCTGTTTCACCCTAGATAATATACATGTTTCGATGCTGTTCTCTTGAAACATCCCACCCTCGCCTTCTCCCAGAGTCCACAAGTCTGTTCTATACATCTGAGTCTCTTTTTCTGTTTTGCATATAGGGTTATTGTTACCATCTTTCTACATTCCATATATATGTGTTAGTATACTGTAATGGTCTTTATCTTTCTGGCTTACTTCGCTCTGTATAATGGGCTCCAGTTTCATCCATCTCATTAGAACTGATTCAAATGAATTCTTTTTAATGGCTGAGTAATATTCCATGGTGTATATGTACCACAGCTTCCTCATCCATTCGTCTGCTGATGGGCATCTAGGTTGCTTCCATGTCCTGGCTATTATAAACAGTGCTGCGATGAACACTGGGGTGCACGTGTCTCTTTAAGATCTGGTTTCCTCGGTGTGTATGCCCAGAAGTGGGATTGCTGGGTCAAAAGCAAATTTGAAGAACTCTGTTCTAAGACAGGAGAGATAAGGAGAGTAGAAGATATACTGCACTTTGGCATCCAGCTAACAAAACTTGGCACAGGAAGGGAAAGGGGTGTCTGCCTCCTCCACATGGCTTCTGGATGTTGATGGCTCCAGAGAACCTGGTTTAGCTGTAGCACCCAGAGGACGTGTCAGAAGTGCCCATGGACTCTGCACACATGCCTATCACCTGTGGTGCTCAGTTCAGTTCAGTTCAGTCACTCAGTTGTGTCTGACTCTTTGCGACCCCATGGACTGCAGCATGCCAGGCCTCCCTGTCCATCACCAACTCCTGGAGTTTATTCAAACTCATGTCCATTGAATCAGTGATGCCATCCAGGTATCTCATCTTCTGTTGTCCCCCTTCCCTCCTGCATTTAATCGTTCCCAGCATCAGGGTCTTTTCAAATGAGTCAGCTCCTCTCATCAGGTGGCCAAAGTATTGGAGTTTCAGCTTCACCATCAGTCCTTCCAATGAATACCCAGGACTGATTTCCTTTAGGATGGACTGGTTGGATCTCCTTGCAGTCCAAGGGACTCTCAAGAGTCTTCTCCAATACCACAGTTCAAAAGCATCAATTCTTCTGTGCTCAGATTTCTTTATAGTCCAACTCTTACATTCATACATGACTACTGGAAAAACCATAGCTTTGACTAGTCGAGCCTTTGTTGGCAAAGTGATGTCTTTGCTTTCTAATACGCTGCCTAGGTTGGTCATAACTTTTCTTCCAAGGAGCAAGCATCTTTTAATTTCATGGCTGTAGTCACCATCTGCAGTGATTTTGGAGCCCAAGAAAATAAAGTCTGACACTGCTTCCACTGTTTCCCCATCTATTTGCCATGAAGCGATGGAACCAAATGCCATGATCTTAGTTTTCTGAATGTTGAGCTTTAAGCCAACTTTTTCACTCTCCTCTTTCATTTTCATCAAGAGGCTTTTTAGTTCCTCTTCACTTTCTGCCATAAGGGTGGTGTCATCTGCATATCTGAGGTTATTGATATTTCTCCCGGCAATCTTGATACCAGCTTGTACTTCCTCCAGCCCAGCGTTTCTCATGATGTACCCTGCATATAAGTTAAATAAGCAGGGTGACAATACACAGCCTTGACATACTCTTTTCCCTATTTGGAACCAGTGGTGCTAGTGGTGGGAAACCCAACCTCCCCACCACCTGCTCCTCAGCATAGGGAAACATCAGCGGAGGCTGTGGGTGCCACTAATAGCCTTGGGAAAGGCAGCAAGGCAAGCACAAGGGAAAGTACAGAGGTACAAAAAGTCTCTGCGTTTCCCTCTGCACCAGATACAAGGTGCTCCATAAAATATGGCTTGGCTGTGTTACCTTGAGTTTCCACTCTACTGGGGAAGAAAGAGGGGAAAAAAGCACATGAACAGAGAGATGTTCATGAATTTTATGAAGGATAAAACCTGATGTAGTAATAGACACACGGTTCACCACTCTCTAGTAAGCTGGTGCTGGAAGGCCTTTGAGGAAATGGCATTTGAGTGAGGACCTGAAGGATGAGGAGTCAGCCATGCGAGAAGTGGGGAAAAGATGAATTGTATCTGCAAAGGCCCTGAGTCATAAAGGAGATGAATGTGCTCAAAGGCTTGAAAGGAAGTAAGTATAGCAGGAGGAGAGTGGGCAAGGGAGAGAGTGGCCAGAATAAACAAGGGGAAGCAAGGCATGGGTCAGGTCATCAGGGTTTTGGAGTAGGGGATTCACATATTTACATCTTATTAAAAATGCAATGGACAGACCATAAATGGTTTTAATGGAGGCTTACTGTGAAGTTGCTACATAGGAAAGCAGGAGACCAGTAAGTAAACTCTAGAAATGGACCAGATAACACTTAATGGTAACTCAGATTAAGGTGTTGGCAGAGTGGAGCAAAGAGGATGATTTAAGATCTGTTGTGAAAGTTGAAACTACATGGTGAAAGGTTAAAGATGAGGAGTGAAGGAGGAGGCAACAACAAAGATAACACCTTGGATTTATCACTGCAGATGGTGACTGCAGCCATGAAATTAAAAGACGCTTACTCCTTGGAAGGAAAGTTATGACCAACCTGGATAGCATATTAAAAAGCAGAGACATTACTTTGCCAACAAAGGTCTGTCTGGTCAAGGCTATGGTTTTTCCCATGGTCATGTATGGATGTGAGAGTTGGACTGTGAAGAAAGCTGAGCGCTGAAGAATTGATGCTTTTGAACTGTGGTGTTGGAGAAGACTCTTGAGAGTCCCTTGGACTGCAAGGAGATCCAACCAGTCCATCGTAAAGGAGATCAGTCCTGGGTGTTCATTGGAACGCTGATGCTGAGGCTGAAACTCCAATACTTTGGCCACCACATGCAAAGAGTTGACTCATTAGAAAAGACCCTGATTCTGGGTGGGATTGGGGGCAGGAGGAGAAGGGGATGACAGAGGGTGAGATGGCTGGATGGCATCACCCACTCGATGGACATGTGTTTGAGTAAACTCTGGGAGTTGGTGATGGACAGGGAGGCCTGGTGTGCTGTGATTCATGGGGTTGCAGAGAGTCGGACATGACTAAGTGACTGAACTGAACTGATGGTGCCACTCACAGAGACAGAAGTGTTGGGATGGGAAATTGCTTTTAGTTAAGGTGGGCAGACTATTCAGAAGGATCTTGCTAAATCTGAGATGCTCCTGAGATGACAAGAAAACAATTAAATACAATTTTTCTCTTCCCAGAAGAAAAAAGATTTGACTGGAGTTACAAGTTCAGGTGTGGGTAACACAGAGATAGTAGTTAACGGCATGAGAAGAGATAAGACTCTTGGGGAAAGAGTTCTCAAGAAATATGAGTAGTGAAGCTGGGGTCATGCTGGAAACTCTAATACTTATCAGTTGGGTATAGGAGGAGATGTTGGCAAAAGATAGAAATGACTTAAAAAGTAGGGAAAAGTACAGAATGTGCAGCTAGAGAACCAAGGAACCAAAAAGTATGCGTGATTACACGTGACATCATGGGAGCAGCCTTGGCGGAGTGTGGAGGCAATGAATAGGGAGGCAAGTAGGGTGACCACTTGTACGGACAACTATCTCAAGAACTTTCCTATTGTGAGCACTATTCACAATAGCCAAGACATGGAAATAATCTAAATGTCCATCAACATATGAATGGATAAAGAAGATATGAGATATATATATATATATATATATACACATATATACATACATACACACGATGGAATACTACTCAGTCATATAAGAGAACAAAACTATATCAATGTAGCAACATGGAAGTACCTAGGGATTATCATACTGCGTGAAGAAAATCAAACAGACAAGCCAAATACTAT